GAAAACTTCGCTTTCGGTGATCGGTGTCGGAGCAGAGACTTCTTCTAGATGCTATTCTATTGCTCACGGTATCCTAAGGACGAACAAAAAACAAAATTTTGCAATGGGTTTTTCGGCTTTAGTTCTTAATGAGCTTACTAGGTGCTTGCCAAAGCAAAAGCTCACGCGAGGGAATTGGCCGCATCTCGAGGGCCTAGATCTAGCAGATCCAGACTATACTGATCCTGCAAAAATCGATGTAATTTTAGGGGCTGATGTTTATCCAGCTTTAATTATGGAAGGTTTGGTCAGGGGTCTAGCAGGTACTCCACTGGCTCAGCAATCGGTATTCGGTTGGTTGCTAACTGGAGCTATCGATTCTGGTAATCCGCAAAGCTCGTCGATTCGCGCGTTTCACACGCACACGGAACCTTCGCTATCTCAACTTGTCTCAAGATTTTGGGAGATAGAAGAAGTTCCTCGTAAGTCCTTGTTGACCGCTGACGAAGAAAAGTGTGAGGAGCTTTTCGCAAATTCGTATTCTCGCAATGAAAACGGTCGTTTTGTAGTTCGTCTACCTTTCGCTAAGAGACCCAATTTTCTTGGCTCTCGTGATATTGCTGCAGCGTGTCTGGCTCGCTCTGAGCGGCGACTGCAGCACAATTCTCAACTTGCTGAGCGCTACAAGGCTTTCATGTGCGAGTATATTGAGCTGCAGCACATGGAGTCTGTTCCGGTATCGCAAATCAACAGGCCCAGTTTTTATATGCCTCATCATGCAGTAGTAAAGCCCGACAATATAGAAAAAATCCGCGTAGTCTTCAACGCGTCGCAAAAATCTCGCAATGGGATCGCCCTTAATGATTTGCTCTTGCCTGGCCCAAAGTTGCAGACCGATATCGCAATAGTCTTAACACTTTGGAGGCAATTTAGATATGTGTTTACTACTGACGTTATCCAGATGTTTAGGCAAATACTGGTACATCCCAAAGATGCGGATTGGCAGCGAATTCTCTGGCGAAAGGATAGCAATCAGCCGTCGAAGGACTACAGATGTACCACGGTGACGTACGGCACTGCGTCTGCTCCATTTTTAGCTCTTCGCGTGATGAAGCAGCTGGCCATCGATGGAGCTGCCGACTATCCAGATGCCGCTGCAATCCTGCAACATACGCTCTATGTTGATGATCTCTTCGCCGGAGCAGACACGGTTGAAGAGGCGCTGCGACGACGTGACCAGCTGATTGCTCTGTTAGGGACTGCTGGTATGGCCCTTAGCAAATGGGCAGCGAATGTACCACAGCTGCTATCAGGTTTGATTTCAACGTCTACGGGTGTGGTGAATGTAAAAGCAGACGAGGTAATATCTACTCTTGGCCTTAAGTGGCTCCCCCAAGAAGATAAATTCATGTTTTCGGTCACCGAAACGCACTCACCATGCGAAGTAACAAAACGCTTAATCTTGTCTGATATTGCTCGTTTGTTCGACCCTCTAGGATGGCTAGCACCAATGATTGTCGTTGCCAAAATCATTATGCAAGATTTGTGGATCGATAAGGTGGACTGGGACGCGCCTACAACGCAGTCTCTGCAAGCTCGATGGTTGCAATTCCGAGCCAATCTTTCAGACGTACCAAGGATCCGAATTCCAAGGTGGATAAACATAAAGGAGAATGACGACTGGCAGCTGCACGGATTCGCCGATGCCTCGCAAAGGGCTTATGCTGCAGCAGTTTACTTAGTGGTGCCTGGGTCTACGCCTATGCTGCTTGTAGCGAAAACCAAGGTCGCGCCTACGAAGGTGCAGTCGCTGCCAAGGCTGGAGCTCTGTGCTGCTACACTGCTATCTCGACTGACGTCGTATCTCCTCAATTCGTTGCATCGTCCACCGACAGCGATCCACTGCTGGTCAGACTCACGAGTTGTACTGGAGTGGTTGAAGGATCATCCGTCCAGGTGGCAAACCTTTATTGCCAACCGCACAAGCGAGATCATCACTCGGATTCCATCAGCTATTTGGAGACATGTGAGATCTGCTGACAACGCTGCGGACTGTGCAACGCGAGGCCTTAGTCCCGCAGACCTTGCTACATTTCGGCTCTGGTGGCACGGACCCGCTTGGCTTCCGCTACCAGAAGCAGCCTGGCCGTCATCCGTCCCTTTGAGCGCTCAAGCCATTGAGGAGACGCATGCTCTTGCAGCCATGGAGAGGAATGACGAGGAAGTCAGTTTGGTCGCAGGTTGCAGCTGTTTGCCGTCGCTGCAAAAGTTTTCTGATTTTGAGAAAATACTGCGCATCTTGGGCTACTGTGGGCGCTGGCTTCGGAAACCAGATGATGAGCCACGAGAAAGTAACAAATTCATCTCACTACGGGAGAGGGCTCTTGCCCAAAATTTTTGTTACAGAGCTATCCAGCAACAACATTATAAGGAGGAGCGAAAGCAATTGCTAGCGAATAAGCTGCTTTCTAAGCGTAGTCCGCTGGCTCGTCTCAGTCCTTTTATCTGCGAACGGGGTTTGATCCGAGTGGGAGGTCGACTACATTATTCGCCGATACCTTACAACGAGAAGCATCCAATTGTGCTACCAGGGGGATGCATTCTGGTCAAACGACTCGTCGAAGAAGTGCACAAGTTAACGCTTCATGGTGGCGCACAACTTATGTTGTCCCATATCTACCGCTCGCTCTGGATCACTCGAGGCCCGGCCGTAGCAGCAGGAGTCTACAGGCGATGCGTCCGCTGCACAAGATTTGATGGCAGATGCTCTGCCCAGCAGATGGGCCCCTTGCCTGCTGACCGAACGACGCCGTCTCGTGCATTTGCCGTTACCGGACTGGATTACGCAGGGCCCATCCCTGTGCTGTTTTCCAGAGGCCGAGGGGCAAAATCTACAAAAGGCTACGTCGCAATATTTATTTGCTTATTTACGCGAGCTGTACATATTGAAATTGTTTCGGATTTATCCACAGATGCTTTTCTTGCAGCTTATGCACGGTTCTGCGCTCGTAGAGGGGTTTGCAAGAAACTTTATTCGGATAACGCAACAACCTTTAAAAAAGCTGATAAGGAGCTGCAAGCGCTCTTCGCCAAGTCGTCACCCTTTATGGACAGCGTGGTATCAACTTTGGCTACCCAATGCACCCAATGGTCGTTCATTCCACCACGTTCCCCACATTTCGGCGGACTCTGGGAAGCGGCGGTGCGTAGTTTCAAGCACCACTTCCGCAGAGTCATCGGAGATCACTCGCTTACCTTCGAGGAGCTGTCGACGTTGGCTGCGAAAATCGAGGCATGCCTTAATTCTAGGCCGCTGTGCCCCCTCAGCACAGATCCCAAAAACGCAGTCGCTCTCACTCCGGCGCATTTTTTGACGGGCTCATCTTTGCTGTCATCTCCGGAGCCGTACGACGAAGCAACTCAGCCCATTTCACTCAACGACCGGTGGAGGTTGCTGGGCAATCTTAGAGACTCCTTTTGGTCACGTTGGAGAAAGGAGGTCCTACATCTTTTGCAGCGTCGAAATAAATGGTTGGACCCAGAGCCAAACTTGCAAAAGGGGGACGTCGTTTTGTTGACGGACGAGCTCTCGCCTCCAACTCAGTGGCGCCTTGGCTTGGTCATCGAAGCACATCCGGGGGCTGACGGGCTTGTGCGAGTTGTCACTGTCAAGACGGCCACATCCACGTTCACTCGTTCAGTAGTGAAGCTTGTGAAACTACCTACTGAGCCAGAGCTTGTCAACTTTTACCACCAACTGCCGACAAAATCCGCTTCGGCTACAGAAAAAAAAATAAAAATGATTGTATAAAATCCAAAGAAGTTAGGTAGCTTTCGCGGCTAGTGTAGTTACTTGAATCTTTTGTAATTTTGTTATTTCTCTATTTTTTTTTTTCTTTTTTTTCTTTCTCATTTACTATAATGTTTTTGTTTGTTTAGCCTCCATGCATTGTAATGCTGCTCAATCTCGATGAGTAACATAGGGATAGCTTCTAATCCGCACATAGGCTTTCCTGTCCCGTTGAAATTAAAAGCTTCTTTTTTTTCTTTCCTTTTTCGATTTATTTTGATTTTTTTGACGCTTGTTGCGTCAAGGCGGGCGATATGTTCATTTATGAATTTAAGTATCGCTGGCGAGTGTCTTTGCGCTGTTGCTGCGAGTTTTCCTTTAATTTAACTCGCGGATTTTGCTGTGCGAAAGGTAGGGGGTCACACTCCCGCAAGGAGTGCGTATTTAATACACTTGTGCGAGTGTGTCTGTTCCCCCTTCCCGCGTATTGTATAAAACATTTGATGAGGCTTGCCGCGAGTAGGTCTGGCTCGAGCAGCACGCTTGTGGGACTCTCCCCGTCCAGACTTCGAGCGAAGTAGACGTACCTACGCAACAGCAATTATACTCGAGCAAGCAGTATAACGCAGCAAAGTCGTTTTTCGGGCTAAAGATGTGCCCAAGCAGCAGCAACACCGCAGAGATTTACTACTCCACGCTGGATTTGTAATTTTTAGTATCTTTATCTCTTAAAGGCCTAAACAATAGAGGCAGCATTCAACTAGATAAGAACTGCACGAACGGCTAGCTAATCGTCGTGTCGAGGCAGTGATCTTGTTGAAGCGTTGTAAATTTTATCTGCACGATCGACTCGCTATTCGTCGAATCGGCAGACAAATTTGAAGCGTAGACAGCTCGCTTTGTAAAGCTGATCTAGTCTGAATTTTGAGTATTCTTTGATAGCGTCGCGATATTCCATTATCTCAGAAATTATTGTTAATCTCTTTCTCTTTGGTAAATATATTTGTTGATTGTTTAAAGTAAAACCATTTTGTAAATCCTTTCACTACCCCTCGCAGAAGCTCGAATTTATTCCAGAAAATTAGACAACAAATTTTCACTGTCTTTAACTCGGCAGCAGTCCGAATTTGCCCTGGGTTTTTCCATTCGAGGCTTTCGAAGCTTCTCGAGTCTTGAGAAAAGCCCAGCATATATAAATAAATATACAATAATGAAAATTTGCTGTACTTACTTGTCTTAGAACGTGGCTCTCGAGGTCCATCAACGGTGACCTTTATAGCTCTTGTGTAAGTTGCAACTTGTGGTGGCGTTGTTGAAACCGTTATCGTAATGCTGAAACTTTTTCCTAAACAAATGGAAAACCGTAGCTTTTTTAATAAGTAAAAAAATAGATGATTATTTATTATCACCATTATTTACTAAAAACCTTATGATAAAATTCCTATATCTGCATATCACTAAATATTTACAGTAGAACAAGACTTTCTTATTGAACGGTTCTTAACCGCTAAAAAGGTGACAGGTGAAGAAAAAGAGAGAGAGAGAGAGGGGATGGATCGCGTAAAAACGCCCTCCCTCCTCTCCCTCTCACGTTGCTATGCAAAACATGTGACAGTTAGTTGACGATGCGACAGTTAGTCTTGTGTGGCGCTGCAAAGACGTACGACAGAGAGATTTTATTGCAGGAGAGATCTCTGGTACTACGGTAGTATGTATAGCCGCGTGCAACAGCAGTATAGTGCGTCGTTTATGACTGTAGCGCCCATGCGCCACAACGAAAGTATATGGCTTCGGCTACTGTAGTATACAGGCCTCCGTGCATCTGTAGTGCGTGAACTGTACTACCGTTGCTTCTGCCTTATACTACAGTTGCAACGCTGATATACTGAATTGGTATATTACACCGCTTACCAACTTTGCTCAGGAGCCATACCAAATCGGTATTGACCCCAAGCAAATGTGCACACACACACACACACACACACACACACACACACACACACACACACACACACACACACACACACACACACACACACACACACACACACACACACACACACACACACACACACACACACACACACACACACACACACACACACACACACACACACACACACACACACACACACACACACACACACACACACACACACACACACACACACACACACACACACACACACACACACACACACACACACACACACACACACACACACACACACACACACACACACACACACACACACACACACACACACACACACACACACACACACACACACACACACACACACACACACACACACACACACACACACACACACACACACACACACACACACACACACACACACACACACACACACACACACACACACACACACACACACACACACACACACACACACACACACACACACACACACACACACACACACACACACACACACACACACACACACACACACACACACACACACACACACACACACACACACACACACACACACACACACACACACACACACACACACACACACACACACACACACACACACACACACACACACACACACACACACACACACACACACACACACACACACACACACACACACACACACACACACACACACACACACACACACACACACACACACACACACACACACACACACACACACACACACACACACACACACACACACACACACACACACACACACACACACACACACACACACACACACACACACACACACACACACACACACACACACACACACACACACACACACACACACACACACACACACACACACACACACACACACACACACACACACACACACACACACACACACACACACACACACACACACACACACACACACACACACACACACACACACACACACACACACACACACACACACACACACACACACACACACACACACACACACACACACACACACACACACACACACACACACACACACACACACACACACACACACACACACACACACACACACACACACACACACACACACACACACACACACACACACACACACACACACACACACACACACACACACACACACACACACACACACACACACACACACACACACACACACACACACACACACACACACACACACACACACACACACACACACACACACACACACACACACACACACACACACACACACACACACACACACACACACACACACACACACACACACACACACACACACACACACACACACACACACACACACACACACACACACACACACACACACACACACACACACACACACACACACACACACACACACACACACACACACACACACACACACACACACACACACACACACACACACACACACACACACACACACACACACACACACACACACACACACACACACACACACACACACACACACACACACACACACACACACACACACACACACACACACACACACACACACACACACACACACACACACACACACACACACACACACACACACACACACACACACACACACACACACACACACACACACACACACACACACACACACACACACACACACACACACACACACACACACACACACACACACACACACACACACACACACACACACACACACACACACACACACACACACACACACACACACACACACACACACACACACACACACACACACACACACACACACACACACACACACACACACACACACACACACACACACACACACACACACACACACACACACACACACACACACACACACACACACACACACACACACACACACACACACACACACACACACACACACACACACACACACACACACACACACACACACACACACACACACACACACACACACACACACACACACACACACACACACACACACACACACACACACACACACACACACACACACACACACACACACACACACACACACACACACACACACACACACACACACACACACACACACACACACACACACACACACACACACACACACACACACACACACACACACACACACACACACACACACACACACACACACACACACACACACACACACACACACACACACACACACACACACACACACACACACACACACACACACACACACACACACACACACACACACACACACACACACACACACACACACACACACACACACACACACACACACACACACACACACACACACACACACACACACACACACACACACACACACACACACACACACACACACACACACACACACACACACACACACACACACACACACACACACACACACACACACACACACACACACACACACACACACACACACACACACACACACACACACACACACACACACACACACACACACACACACACACACACACACACACACACACACACACACACACACACACACACACACACACACACACACACACACACACACACACACACACACACACACACACACACACACACACACACACACACACACACACACACACACACACACACACACACACACACACACACACACACACACACACACACACACACACACACACACACACACACACACACACACACACACACACACACACACACACACACACACACACACACACACACACACACACACACACACACACACACACACACACACACACACACACACACACACACACACACACACACACACACACACACACACACACACACACACACACACACACACACACACACACACACACACACACACACACACACACACACACACACACACACACACACACACACACACACACACACACACACACACACACACACACACACACACACACACACACACACACACACACACACACACACACACACACACACACACACACACACACACACACACACACACACACACACACACACACACACACACACACACACACACACACACACACACACACACACACACACACACACACACACACACACACACACACACACACACACACACACACACACACACACACACACACACACACACACACACACACACACACACACACACACACACACACACACACACACACACACACACACACACACACACACACACACACACACACACACACACACACACACACACACACACACACACACACACACACACACACACACACACACACACACACACACACACACACACACACACACACACACACACACACACACACACACACACACACACACACACACACACACACACACACACACACACACACACACACACACACACACACACACACACACACACACACACACACACACACACACACACACACACACACACACACACACACACACACACACACACACACACACACACACACACACACACACACACACACACACACACACACACACACACACACACACACACACACACACACACACACACACACACACANGAAAAAAAAAATGTTTTGATATCAAATTCTGTGCATATAATTATATGAGCATTTAGTTTCACGATTTAATCGAATGTAAGATTGATAGATATCATTCAAGCAAGAGCGAGAGAGTAAGAGTCAGTTAAATATATATAGCATATACTCGGTTGCAGTTAAAAGAGAAAAACTCATGTCGTCGCTTGCTTTGGCTGTGCGCTGAGATATATAGCTATAGTCAACATTTCCACTCCTCTCCTCGTAGGCACACATTCGGTATACCCCAATACCCCTTTTACGTGTCGCCAAAATGTGCGCCTATATGCTCATTTCCACGCGAATCCACTTCTCTTCTTGTAGGCGCACGCTCTTGGATACGAGTCTCGCACTCTTGAAAAATGTGCGCCTTGGTTCGACGGCTGGCCGCGGCGGGTCGCCCCGATCAGTGGAAAAAAGTTGTCTCACGCCGTAGCATTGGTGTTAGCAATCTCTCTACTCATCTCTGATACGACGCACTATACTACTGTTGCACGTGGCTGTGCATAGTACCGTAGTACCAGTGATCTCTCCGTGAGAGCGTATCTCTTCTTCTCTAATTCATATTTTTATTGCAATAATACTTTAATAAGTAAGACACGTGCACGTGCCCGGAGGCATGCTAATAGCTCTAGATCGTCAATAGCCTTTTATAAAAATTATCCTCTCTCTTGTCGCTAGTTACCAAGCGTATTGGTGCTAGACCATCGTGTTTAAAAAGGTTTATCAATGACCTATTACTTATTGCTGATAGTTGCT